TTTGGACTCCCTATTTGTACATAAAAAGTCGATAAATAAGCAAAATGTGAAGAAATTACAGCATTAAGTGAATGCAGACACTGATTCACATATGACACTGGTCTCGTGGCTAAAAAGTAACATAGTCCGCTTGTTGCTGCAGCATATGTCTGTCAAGCCGACATTTAAATGTCTCCACAGATTGAGATATGACAACCGTCTCGGGCAAGTTATTCCACGGTTCCACGACATGGTTGGAGAAGAAATATTTTCTCACATTCAATCTACCCTGGGGCACACGTAGCTTGAAGGGATGTCCCCGGAGATTAGTTGTAGTAGCGAGTTGGAAAAAGTCATCGCACCGAAGGGCGCAGTCCAAGCCACGCACGATACGGAAAGTTTGTATCAAGTCTCCACGCAACTGCCTATAACTCAGAGGATAGAGATTAGGGTTAGTTAAGCGGATCTCGTATGGCAGTGCACTTTAACCTCTTATTAATTTTGTTGCTCGCCTCTGCACCCTTTCGAGCAGATTGTAATCCTGATGCGTCCACGGTCTCCAGGCCTGAATTGCATATTCGAGGTGCGGCCTTACAAACGTGCCGAAGAATTTGGAGAAGCAGTCTTCATCGAAAACTGCGAATACCCGCTTGATGGCATATAGTATTGAAGTTGCGTCCTTGGCCGCCTTACGGCATCGTGTAGAAGGCTTTAGGCTGTCTGCAACCCAGACTCCGAGATCTTTCTGCGTTTGTGCATCTCGACGTGGTATTCCGTTCAGATGCCATTGCCGCGTACTAGGGGTCTGATTTCCGATGCGCAGTATGATAAATTTGTTCTAAGGGAAGGTTAAACTGAAATACGGCCAGCAGTGAATAAAACTTCGGATACAAAAAATAAAAATAAAGGTAATGGGCTTTGTTTTATAGTTAGGAGGGTTCAGAAGGAAAAAAAAACTGCTGCTCATAAAATGACGATAGTAAATAAAGGAAGGGGTATCACTGCAACGGATATTATCGGTCTCCACTTCTTCTCATGAAGTTAGCACTGCACCAAACAAAAGCACTGAAGAACAGCTGTCGCTGTTGGCTAAAGAAACTGTCCTTGGTGAGACCGGTCATAGGGATCAGAGGCCACGAACGCCATCGCTACGGTACCTTCGATCAGTGGATTCAGCACCCAAAATACATGGGAGTTTTCTGAATACAAAAGAGAGTAATAGTTCTCTTAAGCAAAGAATAATTTTGCAGAATTTTCACTATCCTGAGTAATTTGTTTTAAATTGCAGTTGTGTTAACAGAAAAGAACCGACGATATGAAACGGTACGTGCCAGGGGAAGAAATAAAAAGACCTCACGGTGACTGCTACATCGGGGATAGAAAAGATGTCTTAAAGTAGTGAGCGAGTTAGAGGTACGATTATAGAAAAACCTAAATAGTAAAAAAGTCCCGTTTGTAATATAAGAAACCACAACAGATCAGGACCTGTAAGTCAGCAACGTTCTTGGTACGACAAATTCCGGTGTTCCTGGGTTAAAGCTCTCTTGGTAAAGGTGTGGAACTGGTTCCCTTTTCTTCCGCTGAGCAGCACGCATGAGGCTAAATAAAAACGAAGAGTATTGCAGGCCAGGTCGAACGTACATGCTATAAAGGCGCATTCTAATATCGCTGGTTTTAAAGTTTCGGCGAATAAATCCGGTCGTACTGCGTGCTGTGGAGACTATCAGGGCGCAGTGCTCAGATAGATAAAGACTCTTGGAGTATGATACACCCAGATCTTGAATAACCCCAGGCACATTCATGTCGTGACCGTCAATACTTTGTTGAGGTTGGTGGTCGTCGCCAACCACCATAGCTGAGTACTTATGTCAAGAAAGAGAAAGGCGCCGTGTGCGCACCACTGGTCGAAGGCCTGTGGGTCGCTCTTTAGAAGGTCAAGCAGAACGTCACGATCTGCCGACTTATATCGATATGCAACTTCCAGATCACTGGCATACATGAATGGTTGACCATTCTGAAATAAATCTGGTACATCGTTAACAAAAAGACAAAATAAAAGCGGGCCGAGTACACTACCCTGAATTACTTCACTCCTCACACATGTGGGGTTAGAGATAGCACTGAAAATCTTGACCCGCTGTGTACGAGCGTCCAGGTAAGGGGATATAAAATTCAGAAGCTTGCTACCTATTCCGAAGGAGGGTATTTTCAAGAGAAGAAGAGCATGGACAAGACGATCAAAAGCCTTAGTGAAATCAAAATAGACTGTGTAAAGTGCAAAACCGTTTTCCATGGATTGGAGAACTTGACCAAGGAAAGAGACCTGACAGGTGTCACAAGACCGAGCTTTGAGGAATCCATGCTCTACAGCACTCAGTAGGTTATTCCCTGCCAAGTTACACATAATCTTCTCTCTGACTAATGTCCCTAAGATTTTCGAAACTGCGGGGAGGGTGTTTGTTGGCTGGAAGTCATCCAATTACGTAGATTGACCATGCTTGGGAATAGGCAGAATGTGTGATTCCTTCCACAAAGCAGTATAGGCTTCACTTTCAAGAGCGAAATCAAATATCTTGCATTAGAGGAATGGCAAAATTACATTTGCATCCGCTTTTAAAATGCTAACTGCGACACCATCAGGTCGCGACCTATGAGATTGATGAAAGCGCCGAATCGCCACCGCCACGTCCCTCAAGGTGAGCGTTATAGTTTCGAGAACTGCCCTGATCAATGCCTGCAGGGTCGGAAGCGGAATGGTCGAGTTTTTAATAAAATATCAATGGTCAAGTGGGCGTCTGCTACAGAATTTCGAAGAGCATGTCGGAGGATAAAATACCTCGTTTTTAAATCAGCTTTTACTTCTCGAGGAAAAAGCTTCACGAGATTTAACGAGTGGTTTTCGGGGAAGTGTATCTCTTCGGCCGGCCGATTTTCTTCGGACAATCTCCTAGTCCGTTCACAAATGTCACAAATTGAGGGCAGAATGGAAATACTATTCAGACGATGGGATCGACAAGAAAGTCTGCGTAACCTACAGCGAAAGGGGAGGAGGAGGAAAACCTCATCCCCAACATTAATTACTTTATTACGGGGGACAAAATGAGAAAAAAGGCAGATCCAGAATATCTTACAGTTCGACAGTACAAACATTTACATCCGAACTTAGGAGAAATCAGTCTATTCCTAAAAAATTAAGGTATATTAATAATTCGACAAGGCGGGCTGATCGGAAATAAAAGAAGAAGCTATCCTTTGAGGGCAAAATTTTGCCAACATCGAGTTCTATCGTAGGAGCAACTATTTCGTTATGTGAGCTACCGAATGGGTATAAAGATAACACTAAAAAAGGCACGCAAGCTCTACAGAAAACTAGGTTGAGTACGCTTGGTCCTCGGGTGGGAAAATCTACAACCCGACTCCACATGCCAGTATCTACAGCCTCAGATAAGTCTTCGAGCTGTTGAGACCGGAAGGCGGAGATCAGTGAACTTCAGGAAGATTGAGGTCATCCACAATCAACTTTTACTTAGGATTTAATTCGGCCACAGTCTGAAATGACTGTGAAAGAAAACGATCAACACCCTCATTGACGTTGAGCGGACGGTAAACACAGCCAAAGAGTAAAGAGAACTTATTTTTAAAGCAACTTGGAGCCAGCAGCTGTCCCCTACGTTGGAAAAATCGGGAGGTCCAACGGCAAAATGCAAGTGTTTGCTTAAAGTAGATGCAGCTTCTCTCCACCATGGCTATCTTGACGATCGTTGAGAATGCAAATATAGCTTAAAAGATAGAGTTCAGAGTCCGATATGAAGCTGTTGTCCATGTCTTAATTGCCCAGAAGAGTACCTGGAGAATGACCGAACACTAGAGTCTGAAGCAAAGTAAAGATCTAGCATTTAGAACAAAAGGTTTAGGGGAGGTGAGCTACACCGTCCAATGATTGGCTGACCACGGAACGTACGGTCCGGATGCACCTGTCCGGTTCTACAAAACATTTGTTGCATCAAAAAACCCCGACGTGAATAAAGAGGAACAGAGTTTGGAGGAGGAAATGACAAGCAGGGAAACTGATTACTATCGTTAGCTGGCTGATTTTCTACTGGAAATTAACAAGCAGGATGATGTAACGCATTCCCGCCGGAGTGAAACTGAAGATCGAGTGAGTTGAGTGACCCAGTATGGACATTTGCATGGGGATTACATTGATAAAACGGCCGTGGAGGGAGCATGTTGGGGGGCGGAGGACGCACTGCTTCGATATGGGCGGAAATTCTATGCAAATATAGGAATACCAACATATTCGGCATGGCCGCTTTGAGAGGTGATCTGAGGGTAGTTGGAAACCCGCTATATTTAGGGCCGTTGAGTTTGTGAGAGTGGCAGGCGACTGCGGAGGAAATTATTTGTTAGAGGAACTGGATTTACCCAGTATACGGGTGGCCGAAATCGCACTCGGACTAGTCTTTGAACTAGGCACTTGCTTCGGTTTACTAGATGTTGCTGCGAAGTCGGTAGGGGTGCTTGTATACAAGGTGTGTTGTTTCTTTTAAAGATTTCAACATCAAGATGAGTCGAGTTCCCTACGGAATCAAGTATGCCATGACGTGGCGAGACCGCAGATGATGTCGAACAAAACTTATTCGACATGACCTCAGGGGCCCTTATGCTAATGTAGGTTTTCAACATTTTCGATTTATTCAGTCTTCTCTAAATTGACGATCCCATTCAGGTACGGTTAAGATTACAAATTCAAGTGAATACAGTCAGCACAAACGTGGTCATTTGTAAGGTTTGCGGAAACATTTGACATCAAACCCGCAGTGGTGCTTTGCATACGAAATGGGATCAGAAATTATAACTCATGGCTAGACGTAGACAGTCCTGCAGATGGAGTCGATGGCTATCAAAATTAAACAATCCGACTGTCTTTTGATCACAACCATAATATCAGAAGTCACTGTTTCATTTGCGAGTAAGTTTAACGACCGAACTGCCCTCAAACGAAAAAAACCTCCGTTGGTCTGGGCGCGTATATTCATGTCTGACTTTTCGCGGATGACCGAACAGGTGACTCATAATTGTAGGCTCGAATACATCTTTAAATCCGAGCAAAGAATCATGTCCATAGATAACGCGGAATGTCCACAAAATGTGGTACCTCATTTGCTTGAGTGACTGAAAAAAATCAAGCTTGCTCAGTCCCTCAGGATATGATAGAGCCGTTAGACCGTCCGTCAGTTTTTTTTCGGCCGTCGCTGCACCTGCCCACTGGGGTCACAGTCTTCCTTCATCCGGGGCATCCATGCTGACATTTCATATTCTATACACTGCCATTTGCAAGCCAGTCCTGTCTGACCCACATTCGTACCCATCAAGGCGGACATTTATTGCTACCCTGACGATGACCGACAACATTCCGTTATATACCGCCACCTACAGGCCAGACCTGCTCGCTTTTTTCTGTTATTATTTTTAAAGAGAGGTTTTTTCTTCTTCTGTAAAATTAATCCAATCATTTTTAACTTTTTGTAAGGAGTTTTTTTTCACCCCTCAATCATCATGTTTCTCAATGGACTTCTAATTTAGAAACTAGGAATTGCATTTTGTAAAGATTCGGCCTACCTCGTCTAAAACTCGCATGCAAAGTTATTTTAACTTGCTTTGATGGGACCCCGACGGGTCTTTAATAAAAATTATCTATCTATCTATCTATCTATCTATCTAAATGCTTCTCAACAAAAGTACTAAAGATCTACACGAAGAGTTTCAGCGGAAAGACCACGTAAGCACGTATAATTCACTGCATGATGCTGGCTGCATTTTGGCGGTTTTTTGCGGTGTTCGGAGGGCAACAAACTAGAAGTTGTCCAGATACCTAGGTCTTAATGTGTATCCACATCTTTTAGTGGAATTTCATCTTTAATGTACTGGAATTTTGGGAAACTTCTGCAAGCACAAGACTACGCATTATGGTACATTAAACGTATCAAATTTTTTGACTTTTTTTGCAATTTATGCACGTGGTCAGCACAGTTTATTGCTTTCCAAATTTTCATTTCACTTCCAAAGATGACGGAAGTGCAGTCAAGATATTCAGCGTAGCCGTCTATAGAGACAAGGAAGAGTAGAGAACCTGAGTCCGAACGTCGTGGCACACCACATTCTGCCTACCATCACTCTGCATTCTAAATGACAGGAACCTATTAATCCACTTAAAATGTTGCCTGTATTCCACACTGCCAAATCTGCTGTAGGAATCGTCCACGTGGCACGCTACCAAAAACCTTTCTGAAGTCGGAGGCGAGGATATCAGCCGGACGGCCCTGGTCTGTAGCCTTTTTCCTGTGCGTAAAGACTATTCAGTTCAGCTCATTTTATTGAGGGGAATAGGCATAAGCCTTTGAGTACCCTATTTGCAACGTAAAAATGTGTGATATAAAAATAAATGTTCTGGGCTGAAATAGTTCAAACAGGCCTATAATGACAGGACAAAATGAAAACGAGTTACAGGGCGTGAGCTCTACTTCTCATCGCTCTTGGTCATTTCGGAACATAAATATGTCCAGATTCTTTTTAAAACTTTGTATAGATGGTGACATCACAACATCCGCGGGAAGGGCATTCCATGATTTGACCGCTCGAACAGAAAAGGAGAATTTCCGAAAATCCAGCCTTGCATGCTGAGTGCGCAGCTTCAATGGCTGACCTCGGAGGTTGGTCGTGGTAGCAAATTCAAAAAAGTCCTCGAAGGCCAGACTGCAATCCAACCCCTTTACAATGCGGAAGGCTTGCAAGAGATCCCCGCGAAGTTGCCTGTAACTCAAAGGAAAGAGGTTCAGATTTTCTAGGCGGGTTGCATAAGGAAAGGAGCTTTGACCCCTAACCATCTTCGTGGCTCTCCTCTGGACTCTTTCGAGGCAGTTTTGATCCTCAACCGCCCACGGCCTCCAGGCTTGTATGCCGTACTCCAAAAGCGGCCGGATGAATGTCCCGAATGCCTTTGAGAAAGCGTCTTCGTCAAAGTCCATAAATGCACGCTTGATGGCTTACAATACAGACATTGCGTTTTTTGCGACCCTCGAACAATGGACGGATGGCTTTAGGGAACTTGTCGTCAGCACACCGAGGTCCTTTTGGGCTTCCACCTCTTGTAGGGCTGCACTGCCCAGAAAGTCGTCTCTTGTGCTGGCCGATCTGGTTGTGTTGCCTAGGCGAAGTATACTGCATTTGGCAAAGTTGAACCGCAGGAGCCAACGGTTTGACCACTCCTCCAACCGATTCAGGTTCATCTGCAGTCTGTCTTCGTCCGCAGAATCCCTAATTACACTCCATATGTTCATGTCATCTGCAAACATTGTTACTTCGCAGTCTAAAGCTCTTGCGGCATCCTCCACATAGATAAGAAACAAAATGGGTCCCAGCACTGAACCCTGGGGGACACCACTCTCAACCATAGTAGGATCTGATTTTCCCCGACCGATGTACACAACCTGGTGTCGACCCAAAAGGAAGTTCTCCATCCATTAAGGGAGTTTCCACCGATCCCTATTTTTTAAGTTTATGTAAGAGCCTCTGGTGTGGCATAGTGTCGAACGCCTTCTGGAAGTCGATGAAGGCTATGTGGACAGCGTGCCTGTTGTTGAGAGCTCGAGTCCAGCTCTGGAGAGAATGCAGCAGGTTTGTCGTGCAGGATCTTCCTTTCCAGAACACATGTTGGCATTTCGATAACAGGCCGTGAACTTCCAGGAATTGCATCACTTCACTCTTTATGATCCTTTCCATAACTTTGCAGAGAATGCATGTCAAGCTTATGGGCCTGAAGTTTGTTTTCGCTGCCCTGCTACCTCCTTTGTACAGCGGAGTAATAGGCGCCAGCTTCTAATCGATAGGAAGTGGTCCAGTGTCAAATGACGTTTGAAAGAGAATCGACAAAGGCACAGAAAGCTCACTGGCAAGTTCCTTGAGAAGCTTGGATGGAATCTCGTCTTGTCCTGGCAACTTCGATTCGTTCAATGCCTCTAATTCTCTTCGGACAATGCCTTCTGAGAAGAGTATATCACTGACGCTTGGAGTCGGTAGTTCTTCTGTGGAGGGAGGAAGGAACCTTGATTGGAAAAACTGTGAAAAATACGCAGCTTTATCCCTACTACCAGCAATCTCAATGCCCATAAGACATGTGTGACCACAGCGAAAATCGTACAGAGCAGCAAACTGTAGGTTCCTATGCTCCAGATAAGTCATTAAATGCCGCCAAAAAGTCGTTCCATCACCTTGCACACAATACGGGAAGGAATTCTTCGAACGGCCGCCTGAACCGTGCTTTGTGCATTGGAGAGACTAGGGCAGCTTTTAATTCCTCGACAGTTCGTCTCCTACGCGGACTTTTGGATATCATCGACACAAGCAGGCACAGGTATGCCGGCCAATTGTCGAATGAAAAGTTGATGAATTCTATCTGGATCAGGTGACTTGGCAGACTTCAGACGGAGTTCTGCACTAATCGATGCAGGCGGGAAGTAAAGACTGTCATCGAATGCAAACGATGTGGAATTTTGTTATTTTTCCGGATATGGAGGAGGAGGCGAAGGATTCGTTCCATGGGTGAGTACCGAGTAAAATAAGCTGGAGTGGACCGGTGGCTTCGTTTGGTCACCAGTCTTCATTTCTCCGTTTTGGAAACTCAGAGCATCGCGCTCACAGGATCCTGCTGTCGTTTGTATTCCTGAAAGCATTCGATACGCTGGATTAGTCGAAAAAACTCCTACGTCTTATTATTTCTCTTAAAGGTGACTTGTAGTTCCGGGTTTATCCGCGGCGGACTGTTGTCTGTTTACTTTCGTCTGCGATGACAAGTAGAATCAATTATTATTTTAATCAGCTAAATGAACGTATCCTATAACTCATTAACTGTTATCCTTCAATGTGGTTGTCCTCAGTATTGTTGAGACCTGCATTCATATGCTGAAAAAATCTCCCTTCCAGATATTTTTTCTACTTGTTTAAATGTGTCAGGCTGAGAGAACATGGAATATTTGAAGAGCATCATCACATAATGATTGACATCAATTGGCGGGAGATTCTATAGATCGACTCTAGTAACAAGAATGTATCGCCTCGATATCGGGTAGATAGCGTATTTTCGATACACGTATATCGGGTGGATAGCGTTTTTGTCCAGCAGATGGATATCGAGTAGATATCGGATATTCGATATAATTGAAAAACGACGGTATCAGCACGCATAGCAACTTACACGACCCCATCTTCCACGGAAATACTACCGTTTACACTAGATTGAACTATTTTGTTTCTGTAGGTCCTCCATCTCCTCGTAAACCATCTGCCGTGTTCTTAGTTTAGAGGACAAACGTATAAAATAGCACAAAGTACCCACGACACTTTAAAATCATATGAATTGATTAGCGTATATAAAAAAAGTAAAAAATAGATATGCGTATTAATATTTGTAGTCTCATTGGTCTATATTGGGACTATCCATTGTTGAACTGGTCGGGCTCGCTTTTGAAGAATCCGGTGTTGGATCTACATTTAAGAGTAGTGTTTAATTGGTAATGGAGGAACACTTATCGCTGGCTGGGGTGTTGTTACTAGTCTTTGGCATTTTTTTGACAGAGCGCCCAGTGACCGTTTAGGTCGCTCTGTAATAGGCAACCCCAGATCGGCAAGGGTGGCCTTACCGTCTCCATTCAAAATGCCGAAGACCTCTGTGGATAGAGCAGTGATTAATAACTATTGAGAACGTACCCTTGATGACTTCGTGTGTCGCCGAATCGGATAGACCCTCTTTCATTTTTCGCCCTTTAAAGTTTATGTGAAGACCGATGTCACCCACAAATAGGGTATAGAAAACTCCATCTCTAATACGTGTTACGAGAGTTATATTCTGCAAGAGTAGTTTTTCCGCTGCCGTCTCGAGCAAACAATGACCGAGTGTATACAGCGAACCAGAAACAATCCAGCTTGTCAGTCGATAGCGGGAGAGTTAAAGTCTCCATTACGTAAGGACATATTTGTTCAAGCAGGTACATTGTGCAGTTCTGTTAGGATGAGGCCATCGGTTTTGGCAGTCTGGTTGGGGGACGGCATACAACTGCAAATGCAGGTGGTCGGACGTATTAAGAGAGATAAGGACAACAATTCTATTTCATCTGTTGTATGATGTTGTTCTGAGACCGCGGTTAAATTGCAGTTGACATTAAGGACCACTGATCCTCCTCGGATTTCCCCGTCTCTTCTATTCAGATAAAAACCTCTGAGAGCTGCCTCATGTTCTCTAATATCCTCAGAAGTCAATGTTTCTGTCAAGGTGATGGCGCCTGGTGTATGCTTATCGACCAAAGTCCTGAGTTCAATCCTCTTATTGAACAAGCTCTGTACCGCCCATGTTCGTCTTCTCTGGTGGGGACTAGTCCTGATTAAGAAAGGCGTCGGTCACAGGAACGATCGCTTGATCTGTATAATTTACGCTTCCCTTATTTTCAATCATTCCCCCCTCTTCTGTTCTCCCCTTAAATTCCGCCCAGAGCTCCCTCATTTTGTGTTCTTCCATCGCTTCGTAATGCTGCCAAAAACATGGCCCTGTGCGGATTATGAAGAGACTGCTCTTCCTTTTAGGTGTGACGACTGAAATTCATTTTCATGTACGATTTTAAGAGGCCTTTGTGGTGGCAGTTCCCGCGATGCTCCTGCGTTTCCAAGACGGAAAGCTTTGTGCAAGGTAACATTCTCCATCATGAGGGAGGGCATTTGGAGGCACTCCAAAATTGGTTGAGGTCATGTTCAACTACTTTATTTTGCAATCGAAAAAGTGGACTCAGAAGCTCCCTTTATGGCGATAGTTCGTTTTCGGCCCAGTATGTCTGCTTGGAGGTTTGGCGTTCTGGATTTGGAAGAAAATGCGGCATAAGAAATAATTAAATTTTGGTCGGATATGCCATTTGTGTCCGTAATGGCGAACCTCTGTTCGTGGAGTTTATCGGTTTGGTTTTTCAGTGACTCCTGTATCATCGGCATCGAATTCTGTTCGAAAGTTTGCCGTGGAAAAAGAGCCTTGCTGTAATTTTGACCTCGTTTTTGTCTAATCCTCTTAATCTTCTTCGAATTTATCCTCTTCGGATCTTCGAATTCGGCGCAGTTTTTGACATCGATGTTTGACGAAGCATCCAGTAGTGGCGCAGCACCTGGTTGTGTACCCAGACTGCCTCTGGTGCTGGATGAGATAAATGACAATAACAAAGTGCATGATCTACTCTGAGCTTCCTTTCGGGCGATAGAAATGTCCTATGCTGTACTGGGTTCTGTAAACGCGGCATCTTTATCTCAATTCCTGATGTAAGTTACTTCTTCTTTGGAATTTCCTTTACGACTGATGCTCTCTTCCCGACTGGACGACGAACAGACATTTTCAGATATGCCATTTCCTTCCTCATGTTGCATATCTTCTTCTCCATTTTTAGGAATTTCCGAAGGAAACTTAAATACGCCACACACATTTGTTCTTTTAGGCCACATCCATCAAGTCTACCCGGTCTTTTGATCTTTTAGCAGGGAGTGAGCTAGTGGCAAAATATCCAACCTAACAGGCATTTTGACAACTTCCGACGCGTAATCCATCATATTTCGAAGCCCTACTGCTGCCTGGCAGCGATGTAAAGACACTTGTTCTCGCCCTTCCCCCTAGGTGTGTGGGTTTGAGCCTGGCTCGTAAAAAATATTTTGCGTAATATCCGAATATCGAAAGATTTTCTGCTTGCCTGCTACCTTTTGACATCCGCCAGTGTCGCTCTGACTTAGTGATCTGAAGCGTTGGTTGCTTACCCGAAGGTCAGCTGTTCGAACCCCATTGGCGATGTTAAGCTCGTGTCCCACGTTGACGGGTCGTAAATGCCTGTTTTTTTGGTGATAGAAGCGAACAGGCGAGTTCCAAGAAACAATTCAGAAGACGAAGACGCGAGCACTGGAACAGGAAATTTATTGGCCCGACGTTTCGGATTCTCACTCGAACCCATCATCAGAGACAGTCGCAGATTAGGGTAATGGGGGCTCCAAGGAGTACAGTAATTACGGCACGCAGCCGCCATGGGACCATACGCGTACTGTAACTAACAGCTCTCGCAATCACCGCTGTGGTCGTAATCGATGCGATTATGGCCTGTCAGTCCGCGTCCGATTCGTTAATTGCCGCGATTTCGTCATCCGTGTTGGATGCTGGTGTGAAGATTGCCCGGCAAATTGGCGCACTGTCACTGGGATTATTGCTCGCCCCCGCCCTCCCCACGTGACTGATTCCCCTGCCCAGGGGAAATCTCAGCACAGAAGGCGGTAGCTGGAGTTCACTGCGCTTGTTGATGGATTGCGGGCCGGGGAACCATGACTCGAGCAGCTCGCGGCTCACGCTGTTGTCACCCCTTGCGAGGATTTCGGCCTCTTGAAATTTGAAAATATGGCCGAGTCCCGTCAAATAAGCCGCCACCTGAGAGCTGGCGTCTCCCCACCTCAC